ATAAACCAAACAAAGCCTCAATGTAGAACAGTCACTGCCAATATCACCCAGTGTCCCTGCAGATGAGAGTTTAACAAATGTATTCCAGTGGTCTGCAGATTTTTCTCAACATACAGCATTTAAAAAAAACATTAAAACAGACCAGTTTCCAGACTAAACTAATGATGAAATTACAATTCAGTGCAAAATATTTTAGACTGCATTTCATTCTATTTTTCCTCAGGTGAAGAAGTGGTTGCATATTATTAAAAATGTAACAAAAGCAGCTAATACTTTCATAAAGAATATTACGTTAGGGATCCCATCCCACCCACCTCCCCCCATCTCTGCCATATTTTGAAAACAAAATAACATTTCCTATAGCCAGCAACTTTTTTTAATGTTACATATACTATTCTCAAGGCACATCTGATGATATATTTTATAACACAGTAGGTGTCAAAGTATGTTTTAACATATGATTTCTTCAGGATCCCTCCCCTTTCTGAATTCCAAATGGAGGAACTGAAAGTGCGATGTAAAGACTGGCGATCCATATTCTATCTTTGGCAAGCTTGTACAAGCACTATTGTAAAATGTAATGTGAAAGAACTGTAAACTAGGAACTTCTTCAGTTTATGGAACACCATTCAGGACTGCTGCTTCTTGAGTGTTTTCTTCTTTTATGGTATTAATCTTTTCTTCTCCTGGAGTACGTTGGAGCTTAGAAATGTCATCGCCAGAAGCACTAGTTGGGCCATTTACTGCCTTTTCTGAAGGACCATGCTCTTCAATCACATCTTTTGCCTGCCAAAGGGAGACAACTTTTTCAACTTCTTTATAAATGTAATCTATAGCTGAGGAGGAAAGTGGCTACATAAACATCAATTAGCTAATAATATTAGTTTCATATACCACAATGGATTAAAGAATTAAAACGATCTTAAAATTCAAACCAAATACCAAGATTCTCCACCTGCCTTGAGTCTTTCGACTCTTTATCTCTAATGTCTAACAGTACCTAAACACAGGAAGAATCTGTCTTGTTAGTGAAAACTTGTACATATTTTTATTTTAACCACTGTAAAAGCTCACCATGTAAAAGATATAAACAGTTAATACCCTAAGCAAATAATCACCTACTTTACTCACCTTTTTGTTTTTTGAAACTCACATTACTTATCAAATCCCTTAAAGCATTTAAAAGAATTGAAACATAAAGGTCTGTATCCATCAGACCTATTTTCAGAAGATGGCTATATATATATATATATATATATATATAGCCTACTGCTCCCCAAATTAAGCAACAGTCTCTATGCCCAGTATCTTTGGGCAGAGTTAATTTTACAGATGATATTTAGAATTCTAACTGAAAATTATTTCACACTTGAGCATGCATATCTTTAGTTATCTGGGGCCAAGAACGAAATCAAGAATAGTCTTTAAAATATTATTCATCTAGTTGGGGAAACAAGTGATCATACATTAAGTTCAAGAAGTAAAAATAATGCTAAACCATTAAAAAAAAAAGCCAACAAAACCTACAGGTTAAATTCTCCTTACCATTTCTTTCTTGTTTTTAGCCAAAGTTTCCCTTGGGAGGTTTCTTTGTCTGCTCTGAGACTCAGCTCTAGAAATATAATCTGCAACTGTGACTGTTGAAGATGAGAAAAAAATTACAGGTGTTGAAAAAATATTTCTAAAGCTTATTTATGGATAAAGAGTAATTTTATTTTTAATATAAACTAATGGTAGGTAACCCAATTTCAAAATTTTTTTAAGCTGGGTACCACCTCAAACCAAAAATGAGCTTGAAAAATGTGCCTGTGGTTTATATTATTAATAGAAAATTTTGGGCTGGAGATAGAGGAAGACAAACATCCTCTTTTACAATAATCCAGCCATTCTGAATTGAGTCTAATGTTGTGGGATAGGTTTGAAATAAAAATCCACAACCAAGAATAGGAAATGCAGCATTCTAAGTCCAGCCAGTGTATGCAGTTTTCAGCAAAAATGGGGCAAATTTGGTGCAAGCCATGGTATAGTATATACTTATATCTGAAAATTTTATCTAGGATGTAGAAAATTTATTTATATTTTTCTCTTTTTAAAGAGCACAGTAACATATCCAAGTGTGATATTTTATGGTTCCTTTTTAACATTTCATACTAGAAACCATGAGTGATCTAAAATAAACTGCAAGCAAAGATGACACACCACCAACCTAAAATGTGCACACCGATCATGGTGGGAAAAGGCCCACCATTAATAGCCATCCCCTCCCCACTTTGCCAATCTTTCAAGGGACTCAGAGTGTGTGTGTGCGTGCAAATGGCAATAGTGATACAGGAAACTAACACCCAGTTCTGCCAACCCAAGTGCAGTAAATGACCTCTAGTCCACAGGTACTCTGGACTGGCCTCACTTTATACCTCAACCCTTTATCTTCCAAGACTTGCAACTCAGAATCTACTGATCTGAACAAATATCAAAATAATCACCCTCTTTTCTTTCAAAAAATTATCTTCTATCAGAAAATGGCTAAGAAAAACCTGATTAGAGGAAATATTGTTATTTTAAATTTTGGGAGCAAGTTAAGAATGAAAACTCAAGGAAAATTTTAATTATTTACTTGAAGTCACGAGTTGAGAAGAATTGGTCCATCAGGTTCAAATTATATGAAAATAAATCATTCTAATAAAAAGCTCAATAATATTTACAGTTCATTTTTCTTAATCATGAACATAGCTAACACTTCTGTAAGATCCAAGGACTTTCCAGAGCCACCAAATCTTTTTAAACCTTGAGGAAACAACTTAATTCAGAACTAATACACCCCATTTATTAGAAACACCACTAAATAAAGATGTTTCATGTTTAAAAAATGTCTCTTCAAATTATAAGAAACTCAGTTTGTTCATCTTGGAGTTTTTAAAATCATTTAGATTTAGGAGTATTTTGAAAACTGGGAAGGTAGATATACCTTTGTTAGTATGTCTATATAACATTGGTGGCAAAACCATTCTAGGAATGATTCTACTTTGGGAAGGACCTTAATGATTCACTTTGTTTCTATAGTTAGGCCCTCAGTGATACCTGGAAAAACTCTACTACTTGGAATCCCTGATGTACAGACAAACTGCTAAAGTTGAATGTGTGACAGTTCTTAGAGCCCTTCATACACTATGTACATAGTTTGTGCACTAAGCTGGAAAGGTAAAAACTTACCAGTGCCCACTCCCCCCAAAAAAGGGAGGTAAAGCTAAACAGAACCTCAGCTGATTCAAAGAAAAACCCATATATAGTCCTTATAATACAAGCCACTTAAAAGTTCAATACAGGCTAATAAATATTTACAGTACTACAAAAAAGGGCAATTTAAGCAGCATAATTTGGGCTCTAGAATTTCCTCTAAGGGTCCAAGTTAATCATATGACCAACAATGTCACATTCTTAGTAAATAGAGTATCTACAGCTTAAACTTATAGTAAGGGCAATAAATTTTGAGCAAATGTGAACAAATTAAATGACTATATTTAGAAGATTATTGATACTAACTTTAGATGAAGGCTGCCTTCCTAGAACTGTTGCTATTGGCAAGGAAAAAACGATGTGCTTGTTCCACCTTTCCATTTTGGGATTTTGGTTTTTGTTTTATTTGGGGGGAGGGGGGAGGTGGTGGGGAGGCAAAGAATTAAAGAGAAAAGCGGTAGTTCCAAGAACAGTAAAACAGGAATAAATGCACTACAGGACATCATTGTCAAATTAATGAAACTTCCAAATAACTCCTTTCAATTTACATCATGCAGAAATCTCTGCTTCCTCTTTAACTAACCCCAGTTAATTCCTTTCATGTTCATTGAATTAGTGATATACCACCTTCCATCTTAATAAATTATTGTAATTCATCCAATGTTAAGTGCATACTGGTGTATCTTGAATTTTCTTATTTATAAATTATGGCCAGTAACTATATCCAGTGCTGTGCCAGCTTCAAAAATTGAAATACTCGATCTAAAGTACATTTCTAAAATTACAAGAAAGGGAGGAGAAGGGAAAACAAACATTTTCTGGAAACATTCTATTTTTGACAATATTTAATTCCTTTTAAACTTACAACTATTTTTAAAACATGAACTTTTTTTTCAAGAATGGGAATACCTTTAACCAGTTTTCCCAAATGTCTTTACAGCCACTAAATTTAAAATACTAAAGAAATTAGAATTTACATTCTTTATTTGGGGAAAACACATTAAAGAATTTGCTTTGGAAAAAATGCAAAAATTGAGTAGTTTGAAAGGGGTTTATTTCTGGTGCACACAGTTTCTTCAATGTGAATATACATGTGATTCTCTGTACACAAGATACGGACTTATGTTCAAAATAGAGACACAGCAAACAAGTTTCTTTGAAGTTACTAAAAATTATGAGTACTTAAATTAACATTCTAAAACTAAGTAAGTACTATTAATTTGAATAGTTAGTAGGTGTAACGGAAAATGCATCACACTACAATAAACAGAAACATTAACATGCATTCCTCTTACTAGGAAAAAGACACTTTCAAGTATTTTTCTCATTTATACTTTTTTTTTTAACTGTGGGTATTACAATTCCCACTAAAATGAGGTGCTGAATCCAGATATGTAAGCGGCACCATGCAAAAGCTGCCCAGTTTTGCCAATCAACCTCAATCACAATGTACAACATGGTCCCTAGGATGGCAGGCCTCAACTCAAGGCTAAAGAACCTGCCAAGTGGACAAAATAATAGTCTTAACAGTAATACCATGTAAAAAATTGAGACACAACACTAGTTCAATTAGACAGGTTACCAAACATTTACGGTGTGAAGAATGAATGCATTTTCTTAAGAGCAGTAGTCTCATTAGTTGTAAACAATTTATGCAATGCACATTTTGAATGTATATGCACACATGTGTACATGTTAAGAATAATATATTCAGAAAGCAGACACATGACATTTTTTTCATGCTTGTGACCTGGTGTTGTCAACAGGTCCACTCAAGTTACCTGGCTGTCTATCTTCTGCCTGACCCCTGAAACGACGCCTGCGGCTACGATTGCGTCGCTGGGTTTTTTTTTCACTATCATCTGTAATTGCAAAGTTTACCATGAACTATTCTGACAAAAACAAAAACAAAATAAAAAACTTCTTTCCTTCAAAGATTTAAGGAGGGGGAAAGCAACTTTTTAATTAAACAAGATAAAACAATATACACTGCTTACAAGAAAAATACTTTTGTAGTTTAAGCATTCAAAATAGATTAAATATGGAATTTATCTGGAAATTAAGAGGGTTTTAACTCAATTAAACAAACACTAAAACTTAATTTAAATCACCATCATTCACAGATACAAGTTTGCTCTCCAATACGGTTTAGTTTTACCAAAGTTAATGACATTTTAGCCCTTTGGAAATTAATTCCTATTCAATATACATACCTTCACTAGTCTCATTTATAGTAATTTTTTAGAAGGCAAGTTGAAAGCACAATTTTGGTTTAGGAACAAAAGAGTATTAAGTGCCTTGCAGTTTGAATACCTGTACTGACTTAATGACATCAAAGAGCACTTTAATAAACCCTCCCAGTTTCAAATAATTTGGCTATACAAATCTCAGAAGTAGACATTTAAGACAGACACAAAGCCATCTACATTGTCTAAAGTAAATACTAACAAAAAAAATTCAAATGCAAATTGCGTATGTTTGGTTTTTTTTTTCTTTTTTGGAAAAACCATCATACATTAACAGTATTTTACAATTATATATATCTTTTCCCTAAATGCTTACATACCTAGCCCATTTTCATTAACTGAAGCTGTATCAGATTCAGTCATTCCATCCATCAGAACAGCATCTTCATCAGTCCTTCGTCTACGAGACCGCCTACGACGGTTAGTACTGTGATGAGATTCGCTGGCATCAGTGTCTGCAGTCTGATCTGATTCTGTATTATCAAGTAAGCTGTATGGATTGCTGTCTGGATCTTTGAGCACTATATGCATGTCAGAGGCAAGAAATATTTGTTTAAGAGAGCTGCAGTTATCAGGAATGTTTTGATCTATATTGAACTATACCCATGATAAACTTCAATTTTCCCCCAAATAAAAATGTATTATCTTCAAATAAAATGTTTCCTATATCACCATTTTACCTGGAAAATAATAAATATGAATAAAGCTTAAATGGCAATGAAAAATAAAAGTAAATGGAACAGATACCTCAGCTTCCTATCACTTCTCTTGGACTTGCTTTGAAAATATATTAGGAAATAGTATATCACACTTCATTCTATTTTTGACATTCACATTCATGGCAGCTAATCCTGCCAGAGGCTAGAGCTATGAAAATGAAGAGAAATAAATATATAGCTCATAATATAAATTCTAAGGGCAAGCTTCTGTCCCTTCTCTCCTGAGAAAGTGGCTGCACCTTCTTTGTGCTAATATTATTTCCAAATAATACTCAAAACCTGAACTCCATGACATAATAGAAATCTGTTACTATGAACTGAAGCAATCAAAAGAAGTCTAAACAGAAACCAAATAACAATGGTTCAATTTCTAACGGGTTATAAGAAAATGTGGAAATGAATGTTAACTAGTCCTCCCATCTCCAGAAACAAAGAGTAAAAGGTGGGGTAAGGTAGGGTTGAAGAGTGGAAAAGGAAAGTCTCAAGATATAATTCATAAGGAAAAAAATACCCATCTTACCTATGTGCATTTATTGCCTCCACCAATCAAATTACAGAAGAAATTCACCTAATCACGATTTTTCCTTTCTAAGTTTCCTTTGGTAACAGCTAGCAAGCTAGCATCTTTGCAAAAGACACTAAGTTTATCCATTAATCATAAACACTAGATAAGTACATTTATTTTGCAATTAAGCATACTGTAATTTTATAAACCTTGGTAATAATGAGCAATAATACACTGAAATACAAGAACTATTCCCCTGAAAGCCTGTAAACTATATATAAGGCTAAAAGAGTATCACTGGAACTGAAGATTACCTTTTTCAAAACCCCTAAATTTTGTAATTTGTTCCAGTGTTTTGTAATTTGTAAGCATGTTTGGTATATATTTAATTATATATACATATGTTTTATAACATTAAAATACCATATAAACTTTCATAGGGCATATATTTTAACAGTAAGAGTGGTTTTCTTATAATATACAATAATATCTTACGGTTATATGCCTAATATAATCTAATCCATGTACTCCTATGACAATTCTCCCCCAAAGCCCATATGCTATTAGCAAGACCATTGTGGCAACTCCTACAACTGCCAAGTTATACCATTTAAAATTTTCAAGACCACCCAAGTAAAAAAAGTTGCTTATACACCTCAAATCTCAGTCTTCTCCACACTCCTCTTTACAGCTCAATTTCTCAAGAACAAATTTCACAATATTTCCCTCTTCCCAAAGTAGTACACACTGTAGCAAAGAATGCTTTTAGGTTAATTTTCAGTATTAAGTATACAGAAGTATTTAGATCTCTCCATGCACTAGAATTCTCTGCAACTGGATGACAAACAAACATGTTACCCAAATATCCTAGGGGATAAAATCTAATTACATAAACCCCACAAAAGTGAAGGGATAAACATCTGACCATGGAAACAAAATCAGCCAGCTAAAGTGTCTTTGACCTTAGTATTGTAGCTAAACCTTTACTGAGAAACACTCTACAGAGCTTTTCTTTTTATTGCTACATGTTCCACTATTTCTCTCAGACAATGAACAGAAACTTCCAAAACTGTGTAGCACTGGAAAATGAATTAACCTGCATCAAATTATACTGTTTACCAAGAAAGGATGCTGACATAGTATATAAAAGACTACCAGAACTGATGGAGGATTTGCCACCACGTGGTCCACCACGACCTCGACCCCCTGAAACACTTCTGCCTCTTCCTCCTGGGCGTCTCCTACTGTCACGCTGATGTCGGCTCTCTCGATCATCTTCTCCTGCCAATGACCAATCACTCAGCTCATCTTTCCGTTCAGATTCTGTTTCAGAGGGGTTAGACAGCTCAGAGTTTGTACCTTGGGGAAAGAAGAGAACATAAGTCAATCAGATTCCCATTTTAAAAAAGTGAAGTTTTTCAAAATTATTTCCTGCAGGTCATTGTTTAAATAACTCTACTGAATTGGCTGCTTCAAAGCTAGGTGAAAGTAAAATAACTGAAATGTATTAACTGAGAAATGCTCAAATGTTAACATTGCTAACATTAGTCATATCGATTAAAAATTGAATTGTCTGTGCAGAAACAGAGTATTACAGAAAACATAAAAAACATTACATATACAATATGAAAATGCAGTTAAGATGGAGAAACAGAAAAAAACTTGCCTACTTTTAGGTTCAAAAATGAAGTATCAGTATAATAAGAACCACTACTATCCAATATTTAAAAATAAATTTAATCATTTTTGGACAAATTAACAGTTGAATTGTATAGGATATATTAAATTCATTATTTCACTGACTCTAAGGGGCACTTCTTGTAATTGATGGCCTCATAAACTGGGAATATATTTTTAGTGATTGTACATGAAATAACAGAAGTCATTATGAATGTCTTCTTAGCATACTGTATTTGAAATTACTAACAAAATTTAACAAAACTTAAGAACTTACTGAGAAGACAACTTCAAACTAACAAAAGAACTTAAACCATTAAGAGAAAAATCTAGCATGATTTCAAAAGTTTACAGACTATTTCTAATGTTACACTGATCTAATACTGACATTTAAAAAATTTAAACACTGCAAAGATTCTATAAAAACCTATAGTATCATCAGTATTATCACAAAGTATCAGATTTACATGACCTAATCACTATCACACTCATCCGCCACTTCTATTCTTAGTCAGTTCTGGGATGCCATTTCCATCCTTCCCTTTTATCATATAATCTGAATGTATCTCCTTCAGATCCATTTAACTGAAAACAGACCTCTCCTCTCCTATACCCCTCTCTTATGCCCTTAAAAGTAATGTGTAGTGAGAGAGGATTCAAGATGCAAGTGTGAGAGGTGAGACAGAGAACTCCTCCCAAAACCACATATAGTAAGAAATACATATAATACAACTAATCCTAAAACAGCAACAGGCAAGAAGGCTGCACCAGACAGCATACACCTGGAGAACAGAGCAGACCTCACAAAACAGGGTAACATACCAAAGCTGTGATCCAGTGGGACACAAGCCCTTCCCCCAGCCCATCTCACCAGCAGGAGGAAGAGAAACGGAGTGGGCAGAGTGGAAGCCTAGGACTGCTGAACACCCTAGAGATCTGCTTTGGAGCACAAACCTACACTGTGTAGTGCTCTGGAGGTTGGTGGTGGTGGGGAGCTGGGACAGGCGGAGTGCTTGAGAGACTGAGATTCCAGCCATTTGTGGAGGAAGGGGATCCACACCCGGCTGCTCTGGGACAAAGGAAAGGTGGGCGGTCTGAGAGGCTTCCTAGCAGTGAGAGGGCTGCTGAAGGAGCAGGGTTTGCATGCAGCTTGCTGCGCGGGAGAAGGGATAGGTGGACAAGGTTCTCTGGGTGTGCTCTGCCCAGCAGGTAACTTTGAGGAGCTTCAGGTGCTCCATCCCCTTGGCTGCCTATTCAGCTCGAGGCCCCCCACTGTGACACACAGCCTGCTGAGCCTTCCTCCTGGCCTTCCGGCACCAGCTCGCAAACCAGCAGTCACTGCACTGGTGTCAGGCCAGCCAGAGTGAGGCCCCACCTACAACAGCTAGACACACAAAGCACAGAGGTGTAAACCTGTGTGCTCGGCCCACTGGCTCTGACACTGGAAACACGCACTGCAGTTGGAAAGCAAGAAACAGCTCTTTCCTACCACTAGGCACCAGCGGGACTCCCCTGCAACCCCTAATTTCACTCCAGGGACTGAGCAGCTCCAGAGACAAGAGCTTATGGGCACTAGAAGGCATCACACAGAAATATGAAACGTCAAAGAAACCTGGACCAGACCAAAATCTCAAAAATCCCAGAAAAAGGGCCAAATGAAACTGAACTCACCAATGTTCCTAAAAGAGTTCAAAATAAAAATCATAAACATGGTCATGGAGGTACAGGAAGATATTCAAGAACTAGGAATGAACTTAAGACAGAGATTCAATCATTAAGAAATTCCATATGTGAAATGAAACATACAATGGAGGGATTTAAAAGCAGATTAGATGTAGTAGAAGAGATGGTAAATGGAATAGAAATTAGAGAAGAGGAACACAAAGAAGTTGAAGCACACAGAGAAAAAAGAATCTCTAAGAATGAAAGAATATCGGGAGAACGGTGTGACCCATCCAAATGGAACAACATTTGCATTATAGGGATACCAGAAGAAGAAGGAGAGAGAGAAAAAGGGATAGAAAGCGTCACTGAGGAGGTAACTGCTGAAAAATTCCCCAATTTGTGGAAGGAGGTAGCCTCTCAGGCCATGGAGGTGCACAGGTCTACTCCCAGCACAAGGGACCAAGGAACACAACATGAGGATATATAATAGTTAAAATGTTAAAGATTAAGGATAAGGACAGACTTTTAGAAGCAGCTAGATAGAAAAAAGTTCACATACAAAGGAAAACCCATCAGGCCATCATCAGACTTCTCAACAGAAACCTTACAGGCCAGAAGGGTGTGGCATGAGGTATTTAATGCAATGAAAAAAAGAAGGGCCTCGAACTGAGAATACTCAACCCCACAAGGTTATCATTTAAATCTGAAGGAGGGATTAAATAATTTTCAAATAAGCAAAAGCTGAGAGAATTTACCTCCCACAAATCACCTCTGCAGTGCATTGTGGAGGGACTGCTATAGATGGAAGTGCTCCTAAGGCTAAATAGCTGTTACCAGGGAAAATAAAACCACAGCAAAGTAGAAAAATTAATTACTAAGCAGATGAAAAATCAAATCAACTACCCCCAAAGTCAATTAAGGGATAGACAAAGAAAGAGTACAGAATATTATATCTAACATATAAAGAATGGAGGAGGAAGAAAAGGAGGAAAAAAAAAAAGAACCTTTATACTGTGTTTATAATAGCATATAAGTGAGTTAAATTAGACTGTTAGATAGTATGGAGATTACCCTTGAACCTTTGGTAACCACAAATCTAAAG